GTTCTCAGATAATCTTTACATACTATTAGTTGTTCGCTCCAACATTTTTATTCTCTAACTTGAAAGTGTTGCCAAATACTATCCAGGACACTGAATTTCCATTTATTTATAGTGGGACATGTATATAATGAATGTCTTCAATCAGCAAGAATCTGCTTTTAATGAATTATCTAATGCTAATTCCAGTTTCTGGAAGGTCTTGTCTGTCTAGTAGGCAAGGTTTCCTCATAATTTAGGCAAAGACTGATGTTTCAAATTCTATCAAAGAATTGCTTGCAACACCCATTATGCAAGACTGAGCTTGTTACATGTTTACTATGATTCTGGTCTTCTTCTGTTGGGGAAACCCCAAAATCGTATTTACAAAATTTCCACTTATTGAAGGGGGTTTGGAGCTAGTTAATAATAATAATAATAATAATAATAATAATAATAATAATAATAATAATAATAATAATANAGTAGTAGTAAAGTTAGAAGGGACCTTGAAGGTCATCTAGTCCAACCCCCTGCTCAGGCAGGAAACCCTATACCATTTCGGACAAATGGCTGTCCAGTCTCTTCTTAAAAACTTCCAGTGTTGGAGCATTCACTGCTTCTGGAGGCAGGTTGTTCCACTGGTTAATTGTTCTCACTGTCAGGAAGTTTCTCCTTAGTTCCAGATTGCCTCTCTCCTTGATTAGTTTCCATCCGTTGCTTCTTGTCCTGCCTCCAGGCGCCTTGGAGAATAGCTTGACTCCCTCTTCTTTGTGGCAGCCCCTGAGATATTGGAACACTGCTATCATGTCCCCCCTCGGCCTTCTCTTCGTTAAATTAGATATACCCAATTCCAGCAGCCTTTCCTTATATGCTTTAGCCTCCAGTCCCCTAATCATCTTTGTTGCTCTTCTCTGTACTCTTTCTAGAGTCTCAACATCTTTTTTACTGCCACTTCAGATATTTTGAGGACTGGTTGCTGAAAAAGTCCTCACATATAAAGGCTGCCAAGTATACAAATATTTCCTACCTCCTACTGTTATATACATGCCTCTTCTTTCCTGGTTCACCTATGAACGCATCTAATTAATTGTTCTTTGTCATGCTACCATTTCCAGCTTTGAAGAGGTTATGCAAAGGGCTGCCACTTTCATTAATCTATTGTGTAGCAATAATTAATCTTTCCGTCCATAAAGTTAGCTGTTGGAAGACATAATTATTACTATTCTTTCCAATGTAATTCTTTACCCTCTTTTTCCTCCTCTCAGTTCAAAGTGCCATTTCCCCCTAATACATTTAACATAGAAGAGTGGGCTTGTTTCTTTACTGACCCTCACCCACCCATCCTCAGTCTTAAAAAGCAGTCAGTAATTTGATCTATAACTTGAACCAGAGCGGTGGAAGAAAACATCTCAAGAGAAAATCAAAACTGATCCAGAAGTGGGAAGTGTCCGCAAAACGGAGAGGTATATTGTGAAGAAGATACAAGGAACCTGGTTGACTCTTATTTACTTATTTCAGTTTCTTTTTTGCTTTGATTCCTTCTGGGAAAGTGAATTCTGTTTTGCCCGTGTACAATTGCTGTAATCTGATCTGAGATTTCCGCTCAAGCTGTTCTGTATCCTTTTCTATTTCAAGCATCATCTGCTCTGCAAAGTTTGTCTGCTTGTCTCCTCAGTTTGCATGGAGCTTCCCCATAACTGCAAAAGTTGCCAGTCTAAAATGTCACAATTTTAAGCAACTGGTGCTTACTGAGGGGCATCCCAAGGGGATGATTAAGGGGTGGCGCTTTTGTTTTATTGTTTTATGATTTTTTTGTTTTATAGTTACTGGTTTTTATTGTTGTTGTGAGCCAACTAGAGTTGTATAAGATGGGCAACTGTATAAATCTTTAAAATAAATATATGAGCGTAGTGGAAAAAGCTGGAGATTTCTGGTGTGGTGGTGGTACATTCAGGGCTTACATACAGTTTTAAAGGAGTGAAGTAAATAACCCAATGCTCTGAAAGTAGCGACAATGCTAGCGACAATAATTTTGCTCCTTAAATGCCAACAAATCCCTCCTCCAATACACTTTTAAAAAGCTGTAGCCCATTCTGTTGGGCTTTGGAAGTTACATATGGGAGGCTGGAGAGCATGTGGAATTTACAACCTACCAATTTCTGGCTTGTGTGAACCAATTGTTCACAATCCAATTGTTCACAAAACAAAAGCGTGACAAACAAGTCAGGGCATAAAGCAATACAGATGAATACAATCACCCAAACAGGTAGGGTTACAGTCCTACTGCTTCAACCGTCCTTATTATCTAAGACTAGGACGTGTTCAGTTCTTCCAAACATTATATACAATTATCATGTCCATTTAAAAGAAAGGACCTCAAAAACTGTCTTAAATGGCAAAATATCCTCTATTAGTTCCTGGGGCTCTGCGGTGGTTCATATTTGATTCCAGGATGGAGCTTCAGAGAACATGTGGGTACGGACATTGCACCATCCTTCTGCCACCAGCAGCTGCGCTTGGCACCCCTTTGAAATCAAATATGAAGCACTGCACACGCAGACCCATCAGTTGCTAAAAGTGATGAGGCCAAATAAAAAGTCACTAAAAACATGCAAAACATCTGAGGTTCACGACTCGTTTCACTTGATAAGGCTTACAAACTTTTGATAAGGAAAAGGATGGGAAGGTAACGACAGAAAAATTTCAGAAAGGGATGTTGCACAATTAAAAGATGTAAAAAAAACCGACACAAAATGGCCCTAATATAATTTTTTTAAAATAATTAAATAAATTTTGGAAATCAGATATTTCAGTGAGATAAACTTGTGAGATCCACTTCCACCTTGGATTTCTATCCCTATAGAAGTGGTGGCGAACCTATGGCACGCGTGCCAGAGGCGGCACTCAGAGCCCTCTCTGTGGGCACATGCGGCATGCCCCGGAGATGGCAACCGTCCCTCTTCAACCAACCGCCTGCTAACTCGCCGAGGTCTCACGTGGCCGGATGCTTCCTAGCACGGCTGGTTTCCCTCCCCCCCGTCCCATCCCTCCTGAACTCGCATGCTCTCCTTTTCCCGGGCACGACCCACTGCATCGCCTCCTCAGCTGTCAGCCAGCCGTCCAGCTCAGAGGCGGCTTCTCTGAACTGCTGGCAGTGGGCTGTGGAGCCCCAGAGTGTGCCAGTCAAGGGGCCGGCAGGCTGTGGCTACTGCCGGACACTGTCGGCCCCCATGCGCTCACTGGCCTCTCTGCGGGGGCCAACGGTGTCTGGCAGCAGCCGCTCCGGCCCCTGCATCGCCTTGCCCTGCGACAATGGCACTCCCGCCCCACCCTGCCTCGCCCTGCCTCGCCTCAGCCCGCAGGCAAGCCTCCTGCCCATCGCCCCACCTGCCAGAGACCCCCTGGATCTCCCCCAACCCTGCCCATCCCCCACAGGCATCCCTCCCCATGAGCAACATCGAAGTGAGCACACCCACCTTGGCCACACCCACCCAGTCTGCCATGACCACCATAGCCACACCCACCCAGTGGGCCACGCCCACCTGGCACCCGGCAATAAATAAGTGGGGTGCAGTTTGGGCACTCGGTCTCTAAAAGGTTCGCCATCACTGCCCTATAGTATATACTGTCATTGTACTAAAAACTATATGCAAAGGGGATGTCCCATTTTTCTCTGCATTTCTTTGGCAAGTAGATGGTTTATTTGTAAATGTCAGATCTAAAAACTATAATTATTCCAAAAGAGACTCTCCAAGGGAAGCATTCATTTATCTACTTCCCTAAAATCCACTTAGATGGGAGAAACTGGAAATCTCAAGGCTGCAGTTTGGACCTCCTCCTCCTCCTCCTTTTTTTTTTAATCCTAGCAAAAAGCAATAGCAAGTAATTTTGCAAAGTATATATAAAATAAAAGAATATTTGATTTTTTAAAATATTACCCACCTTTTAAAGATAACAGCGCTAATCTAGCTCCCAATTCAGCAATGATACTTAGTGTATATAGGGTTATTTTTGCAAAACAAAAATATGTATTTGGAGAAAGCATGGGAAAGGGGATCCTCTTCAGTTTAATATGGTACAAGTTCACAGGTATGTATAGTACTTGTCTCCCATTTCAGTTTTTAGGGGAATTCAATTCTATCATCCATCCATCCATCCATCTATCTATCTATCTATCTATCATCTATCTATCTATCTATCTATCTATCTATCTATCTATCTATCTATCTATCTATCTATCTATCATCTATCTATCTATCTATCTATTAGAAAATCGGTTCTCAGATAATCCTACAAAAAGGGCTATAGAAATAATTGCATAAATGACAAAGAAAACTAGCATCCAAGATCTGCCATCACGACTAACTTCTTTCAGAAGGAATCACAGCAGAAGTGCTGAATGCTATATTCTTTCTGCTGTTACCATGTTTCATTCTGCGTCCTTCCTCCATTTCCAGTCCACTTTCTCTCCCCTCTAATCATTCTCATTCTCAATTTATGAGTGTATTTAAAAATCTCCAAGATCTCTATTAGCTTATACTTTCCTCTACCACCAGCAGCAGTTATAAACTTAGCCTGCAACTGCCAATCAGTGAGTGGTGATCTCAAAATGTGAACAGTTCAGAGTTCAAATCACCACTTACACTTCTTTTATAATGGTGTGATAATACAAGTGAGTCCCTGCTAGTTCATAAAATAAAGAAACACACAAAATGCAAAACTCGGTTTTGGCTCCGTCTGCTATATCTGTGGAGCACAAAAGATAATGTAACAAAACCTTGCCTCTACTAGTTTCCAAGAAGGTCAATGACAGTGGTTGGAGAGTGGTCAGGTTTCAGCATTTCATAAATTAGCAACATGCATTTGGTCTTCCGGACTCTAATAATAGAATCTTAAAGTGACCCTTTAGGAAAAATAAGGCATATGCCTTTTTAAAAGAACCAAATACAAAAGCATAAAAAACACATGGAAGTCTTCTTCAGCCTCAATCCCTCCCTCCTAATTATGGATTATTTTCTTACTACAACCATCTTCGTCACTATGATCTCCACAGTCATTGTCGCCATCACACTGCCACTGAGCAGGGATACAAGTGCATTCGCCAAAAGCACTAACAGCGCAGGTGAAATGGTTGCGGCCACAGGAACACTCAGAGCTGCTACTAGCTGCACCTGCAGGAAGAAAAGAATCAGCATTATCTTAGAGAAGAGCCTGGAAAAATAAGGATACAAAAAAGCATTCATACAAGGTCACCTTGCAAAATATTTTCCAATTTATGTCATAAAATAATATATATTATTCTACCACTAACTGGGTGCCACTACTAAACGCAACCAAACCGTGTGCAAATGATAGGAAATGCATCCACTGTATTGAATAATCAAATGGTGTGATTAATTTCCAACTTTCAGACTGATAAATGAATTAAAAATTAGTTATCCTATGAAAATTATATTTCTCTGAGCATTTGTGGTGCTATTCTCAGATGAAAGTTTCAAAGTGTGGAAAAATGTGTATATTCTTCAAGGTAAGCAAAAATGCATTTATCAGGAAATATGTTGCAGAGATATGAATATTTGGCAAAAATTATGTGCATAGATAGACATGCAAGTTAGAAAGAAATGTGTGTGCACTGGAATCTTGGACAAATAATAAATACAGAAAAATCATAATAGATCCAAATGCTATTTTTAATTTATGAAGAATTTCACATATGATGCAATATAAAATTTGGTTAACTTTACGTGCACAAGAAAAAACTCCATCTTTAGTTATGCTGTGTTGCATAGCAATGTATGCAATCTGTGGTAATAATATGTGGTCTAACAAGACATGTTAAAAGAAATGTTTTAGATTATCCTTACAGCTTTGGGGCAGAAACAAAAATGCCAATCAAACAAACATTAATAATAATAGCTAAACAGAAAGATAACACAACAATGGGACAGATGAAAATGTCCCATTTTCAACAAAGATGGTTAGAAGACTGAAGGCTAAAACATATGAGGAACAGTTGCTGGAATTGGGTATGTCTAGTTTAAGGAAGAGAAGGACAAGGGGGGACATGATAGCAGTGTTCCAATATCTCAGGGGCTGCCACAAAGAAGAGGGAGTCAAGCTATTCTCCAAAGCACCTAAAAGGCAGGACAAGAAGCAATGGATGGAAACTAACCAAAGAGAGAAGCAACCTAGAACAATTAACCAGTGGAACAACCTGCCTCCAGAAGCGGTGAATGCTCCAACACTGGAAGTTTTTAAGAAGAGACTAGACAGCCATTTGTCTGAAATGGTATAAGGTTTCCTGCCTGAGCAGGGGGTTGGACTAGATGACCTTCAAGGTCCCTTCCAACTTCTTATTATTATTATTATTATTATTATTATTATTATTATTATTATTATTATTATTATTATTAAATTTATTGTGTAATCTCACTTTATTTCTATTTCATAAAGAAGTAATGCCCAGTGTGTGTTATTTTCTTACATTTGTGTCTTTTTTATCATTTCAAAGTTGCTCACAAACATTTAATAATATTCTCTCTCTAGTGGCAGATAGCATGAAATAGCATTTCATGATGATATTAGCCATGTTATGGGAGGAAAGAAGGGAGAAAGAAGATAGCAGATTTGAGGAAAGCCAAATTCCTTTCACGTGAACAGTACCTCTAAAACAGTGGTTCTCAACCTGTGGGTCGGGACCCAATTTGGGGTCGATCGACCATTTCACGGGGGTCGCCAAGCAAGGCTGTCTGCCATTTTTTGTCCACCATTTTTTCCCCTTTTCCGACGGGTGCCTTACCTCCCTTGGGCTGGGCCAGCTGGTGGTCGGCCTGCTCCGTCTCTGCCGCTTGCCAGCTACGCCTCGGCTGGCACAGGGGGCGGAACCACGCATGCGCAGCGCTCCCGGGCAGGGAAAGTCCTCGACTTACGACCGGTTGGGTAGTCCTCGACTTACGACCGGTTTAGTCCTCGACTTACGGCCGGTTTAGTCCTCGACTTACGACCGGTTGGGGTCGCGGCATTAAAAAGGTTGAGAACCACTGCTCTAAAAACTGGACATGTGTTTTTGCACTATTTAAAGGGTTTCAGAAATCCAGAAGAGGATTCATGCCTATGAATATGACTCTGTCTCCACCTTGCATTCCAACCACAGTCAGCCAAGAGATCCGGAAATGCTTTGGAAGTCAGGGCACCTGACTACTGGCAAGCAAAGTAGTTATTTAGGGCATAAAATATACTCTTATCCTTGTTGTATCAGAATGGTCCTGATGCGGTTAACGATGCTTCAGATTCTAAATCAGAAATAGCCGAGGGATCTCTTCTTTTACTGAGAAACTTTCAAATTGGCAGAAGACAGGACAATAAGGAATGATTATGAATCATTTTCCTTTCTAAAAGTAACAACAAGCACAAAACTTCAGACTTCCAAGATGCACTTGAATGCCTTGCTAGTAGTATGCATGAGAGACAGAGCGAATCCAAAATCCCTCCAACCTTAGCAGGCTGCAAAACTAGGGACTCAAATTGGTGGATCAAATGTTAAGCATTAAAAACAAGGCACTGCAATAGCACGTGCTCAGCCCAGAAATTTGTGATTTACCCCCAGAACCAATCTCACAATCCTTTCACGCACAGATACGTTCTTGGTTTTTCCCACAAGTATTCTTTTTCAGCAAAGCTGCTCAGTTGTTTGGACAATGAGATAATTAGGAGGCAGAAACACCTACAATAATGCAAATACCCAGAAATCTGCTCTGACCGATCTTTTTACTCACTCCTACTTTATTCCAAGCATTGTTTTATAGAAAGACCAGGGTTTTTTTTCCCACTTTCTCCCTCCCCTTGCCAGAGTCTCCAATTGCATGATTAATCAATTGCCTCTACAGTGAGGAAACATTGATTACAAGGCAGTGGGGGTGGGGGGGTGCTACTTGCTTTGGAGAAAGGCCAAACAGCAACTTATTCTCTACTTCTCTCTTAAGAAACTGATTCGATCCTCAAGTGGCAATTCTTCAGTGAAAGAAAGTACAGTTAATCCTGTTTTAATGGAGGGATTTGTTGACCCATTGTTTAAATAGAGAATTCTTCAGCCAGAAACTAAGAAAGTCACTTTGCATTCATACATACAATTATGGAAGAAACAACACTCACTTACAGAGCCCATCTAACAGAAGTGGCAGAATTTATTTCAGATTTAGTCCTTTTGGCTGCAAGTAGAGTAAAAAACTTTACAGAGCAACACAATATACAACACCTATACTGTGTTTCATAATAGCTCTGGGAAATGGCCTGTGATTAAAGCATATATACAGAGGAAGAGGGCAAAATGTTTTAACTCACTCTTTCTGCAATATTCCATGATAAAGTGAATATCTGAAGCCAAATGTTGTTAAAGATTAAGCTTCGTCCAAATTCAGTTATTGGGTCATTCATAAGATCTTATACTAATATATTAATATCTAATTGGCATATGTGATTACATAAAAAAACAAAGACTGAGTTAATTCTGACTATAGATTAATTGCTTCCCCAATGGCTTGCTAGAGCCTTCAACACACTTTCGTTCATCTGAAAATATTGAGGCTTTCACAGAAAATTTTGACATTGAAAAGTCTCCTTCTCATTCTCAAGAAGCCGTGAAGAATGCAACAGACAAATGCAGAAATGTGCCTTGAAAGCAAATATTGCAAACATCGAAGTCATTTTTTTTCCTGAGTCCCCACTGAAAAATTCTGAAACTGTTCAACAATGTGTCTTATTTGTTGCTGTGTAGACAAGCAACTAAGAACCCAAACCATTGCTATTTTACTTCAAATGTTCAGAAGTGTCCTCTGATGTATTTCCAGCCTACCGGTACTTTAGGACAGGGGTCCTCAACCTTGGCAACTTTAAGACTTGTGGACATCAGCTCCCAGCAAAGCTGGCTGAGGAATTCTGGGAGTTGAAGTCCACAAGTCTTAAAGTTGCCAAGGTTGAGGACCCCTGCTTTAGGAGCAAGAGAAAAGATCTAGAGTGAAGGATTAAGTATCAGATTTATTTTGTTAAGGGAAACATTGTAGAGAATTCATACTGAAAATAATAGGTTTCACACCTTCTATGTAAATCAACAAAAGCCCATGAAACTGCAAAATAAGCAAAGTACTTAAGGTAAAGTTACAAGATTACTTCAAGAGAAACTGAGCTGCAAGATCCTGCACTAACAGAATTGCAGACACTTCTTCCAGGATAACTGCTAGTATCTCAAACAGACAACTGTCTGTTTACCATCTCTGTCAGATAGCAGTTATTGTTCTTATCTCCTGTCTTCCAGAAATCCTAGAGTATTGTCACTTCCTAGTTTTTAATACCCAACCAAGCATCATTCTTTCCTATAAAGGTAAAGGTTTCCCCTGTCCAGTCATCTCCAACTCTAGGGGGCAGTGCTCATCTCTATTTCTTAGCTGAGGAGCCAACGTTGTATGAAGACATTTCCATGGTCATGTGGGCAGCATAACTATACACCAAAGGTGCATGGAACATTGTTATCTTCCCATTGAAGTGATACCTATTTATCTACTTGCATTTGCATGTTTTTGAAACTGCCAGGTGGATAGGAGCTGGGGTAAGTAGCGGGAGTTCACCCTGTTGCATGGCATTAGATCTCGAACCTGTGTTGTCAACTTTCCAGCTGACAAGCTCAGCATTTTTATCCGCTGTGGCATGGCACATTCCTATTCTTTCCTATACTTATTGGTAAAACACCTCTTTATATTGTACTCAAAATGTATTTAACCACCTCTATATAGCATAATTGTACATATTATCTCTAGATCATGTTCCTAGAGAAAAGGTTAATCTGTAATAGCACCATGCTTTTAAACTATATTCACAATCAGGACCTCTAAATATAATTTAGGGGGAAATCCTAGTTTTAAGACCTAAATTAGGCATAGCCAACTGGTTTGTTGGACTACTCACTTGATGGAAGATGGACTTTTTGATCATTGGTGACTGGACAGACAATGCCTTCATGTCAATTTCAATTAACAGCTACTGAGCATCCTGTGCATTCCAAAACAGTCCTTACTTGAAGCCCTTACTTGAAGCCACAACAATCTCCCCTTACTTGAAGCCACAACAATCTGCCAAAACTCTGATACTTAGATACTTCCAAGGCACTAGCTGCAATCCATCCCCTTAGTCTACTATATCATAACTACTAAATCGGTCCTAATTCACAGAGGTCAAATTCATCGTCATTGCTATAGACAGCATATAGAATTCCAGAGAGTAGAGATGCTATGCTTCCTGTTCTTCATAATGCATTTTCTGATATTAGAAGTGTATATCGGTATGTTCTAATATTTCATCTTAAATGTAGTCTCACAATATCACATTACAAGCTACCCAATAACTCTCCAGTAGGAAAAAAAGCCAATTCATTTAATCTTGAGATATTATTTTATGTTTATCTTTTAGTTATGTATGAGAATGCATTCTAAAATCAGTATTTCCCAAGGCAGAGATTCCCTATGAAAATTTGGGGCTTTTTAGCTCATTCAAACAATGAACAGTGAATGCTGAAAATATATAAAATGATCAAAATATGGAAAAAGTATTTTAATAGTAATTGTATTAAAGTTTATGATTACAACAATAAAAACTAATTCAAACTAAAAAAGACAGAATAAAAAGAACGAATAGAAGGTGCAGAAAACAAAAAGGAAAAAGAAAAAAAGAGAAAGAAACCTAAGAATATAGTAATATACATGTGTATTGTGTGTATGTATCTATACCCATTGATGACATAGATATATAGATATAGATGAGATTTGTCACCTTCGTCACAAGTATAAACAATTCTAGTAATATCATCTCTTAAAATACAACAAACGATCTCTTCTTCCCATATTCTATCCTTTATCTATAAACATATTCATAAATCATTGTCATTTCAGTCCTGGTGTCAGTCCATTAAGTGTTACCAAAAATAACAGCATATCTATTTTAGCCATGATCAAATAAACCAACTTTATATTCTTTCCTTTTACTTCTAACAATCTTAATCTTTAGTCCATTCAAAAAATGTCTTAGAACTTGATTTCTTTTCAATTTTTTGTCCCTTCTTATGAGATTCCCAATAAGCCCCTTTTGTTAATTTATTAAATCAATATATAAAAATTATCCATCTCACTCTCTTAGTTTATTGTTTATATATCCCTTTTAATAATTAAGACATCACTCAGGAGATATTATAGGTGAAAGCTTTTCTCTCTTTTTCAAAATATTCAGGATCATTGAAATAAAACAAATAGTGGGACACTCAGAGGAAAAAAATACTACTTGCACAGTCAATAATTAATCTATGAAATTTATCATTATTAACTCAAGTTGACTTTGCTTTTAAAGGTATTACACAAAGCAATTATTGAAAAAGAAGCCTTTTGTCTCCAATTGAATGAATGGACATGGTTCATATAACTGGCGTTAGAATTAAGTCTGGGCCCCTTTTTATAGAAGTTCTGTGGCTTAAGGACTAGAAACAAATTGAGCCAAAGATGTCCCTAGGACTGGGGGAAATGTCAAAAGTACTGTTGTACCGTAAGCTCCACCCCTTTTGTATATGCACCACAACATGCATAAATGTATGAAAGTGGCAGAGCTTGCACCGTAACCTTGCTTTTGTCATTTTGACAAAAGCATCAGATTCTGCAGGCAAAGCAGCAACAATCCATCTGAGAGGAGACAGTCCGTCAGAAAGAACTTTCAATCTGCTATTCAAGGGAAAACCATTCACCAACCTTCATTTTTCCTGATCTGCATGAAATTGATGTTATGTACAGTTTTGGATGGAATTTTAGAAATCTGTGCCATTCAAGGACCTTCCAAAAGTCAAAGATTTGAAAACAAGGTATCATTTCCCTGAGAATCTACTCTAAACCAAGCAATTCGTGACTCATCTCACTCACTTCTGTGCTTGGTAATATTCTATAAATTTTAGTCCTCTGTCTCTAACCATTAGTTAACTAACTTCCTTAAAATCTGATCAACTTGCATCAAGTATTCTGATTAGCTCTGTCTAGAACTAATTCATATTAAAGGATTTGGTCCCTGGATCCAGAGTTTGCAGTGTTAGCAATTTAGCAGCATGGAATGTTCAATGTTCCCTTCTCTCTCTACTTATGCTCCTAAACTACCACCCCACAATACGTTAAATATGTATTTATACAACCCCTTTTCTGTGTTACTAGGCTAAGAATTCAATTCACTAATAGGGCTATAATTTTCCAGCCCTGGAGCATGGGAAGGACATAAGAGCTTCTTTCCGTATCAGATTTTTGAGGGCTGTAATCTGACTCTTTTTCAGGACTGTGATTTGCAGAATTTCAACCAGAACTCTTCTGCTAAAGTAGATTTCCCCAAAGTGACACATTCCAGATGTGTTGGACCACAACCCCGTCATCTTCAGCTTCCTCAGCTAATGACTTGGGAGGGAAGCAGTTGCAGCCTGAAGTATTAGAATGGCACCAACTTGAGAAACATTTTGTGAAAGGGTTGGCAAATGAGTTATTTTGGTGCAATTTTTTTTCCTTGTTAATAGTGGAGCATCTATGCATACAACTTCCTTGTCACAATTTGATGTTCTACCAGAGGCTGGGAAAGCAAGCCACAGCAGCTTAGTTTTGCAAAAGAAGGTCTCTGGGGAAGGAGAGGATGGTAAATGTGGCTTTGTGGCAAGAATGAGGTAGAAACCTCTATTCTGCAATCCCGAAGCAGAGAAGCTTCAAAAGCAGAACCACAAGATAAATGCAGCTATCTTGGGAGAAAGACGATTTTTTAAAAACATGTAACAAACACGCATACGGTATTAGGTTTCTCTCAAAGAATGAGCAAAATAGGAAAACTTATTAACTGCCAGACTGATCTGACTATGTCAGAACTAGGCCAAACTCATCAAGTAAGGAGTGCCACACAACCGCAATGTCATCACGGGTCCCCCACTGCTTACCAGAAAACTGAAAGAAATTCAGACTTGAAAGGAAAAGGAGCCTTGGCCATTATTTTACGGGATGAGGGGAAACCATTTGATAAATACTTTTTATGGGTTCATATGGGGCTAGACATTTCCAGTAATGTTGCCAGAAGCAGAACAAGATGTTCAGTGGTGAAATTACAACAGCGCAGCAATCCAAGCAGGAAAGTTTGACCCTGCACAGCCCACCCGCATCTTTTGCGTACTTCCAAAGAGGTTCATGAACTGTTATGTTTTAGCTCTTGCTATTCTTGTGCTTCAGCCTTCTCTACTGAAAAGGAATTTCCTCCATTTCTTAAGAACAGAAACCATCCCTGATTCTTCCCAAGATCTGGTTTTTGGATCTATTCATTTGCCAGCTTGTAATCAATTCTGATAGATAGTACTAAGATTTTTTTTCTGTATGTGGGAGTTAACAAGGCTATGATCTTAACTGAAAGCCAAAATAAGAGACCACGGAGAAAACAAATTATTTCGGCAACTCTCTACCAGAAATTATCCGGGTTTATTTTGTGCTTTATTATTTCTGAGGCAATAAATCACCAACTGGCTGATACACATCAGTGAATATTAGATATTCATTGTTTAACTTCAATGCATACACTTCACTTGTTGATTTAGTCTGACTCCAGAATACAGCTAGACACTAAAACAAGACATTTTTCAGTTGGTATCAAATGTGCCAATTTTTCTTTCTCTGTATCCTTATTAATCTCATCTGTCACTAGTCCAGCTTTGGCCAACAAACTGCTGACTGAATGTGTGGAAATTACAATTCCCAGAGTTTCCAACCAGCATGGCCACTGACCAGGCTGACCGAGATGTGACATCTGTAATCTGTATCCCAAACACAATGCAGGGCACCAAGTTGGGGAAGGTTGCATTAGACACACCATTAAACAAACTCTACGGAAACCAATTTAGTGTTACGTTTATGTGCCAAGATTTTCGTTTTTCAACTCAGGAAGCAAACATAAAGCCTTCTGCTCTACTTCAGCAATCAAAGTGCCGTTCTTCTCTCTCATTTCCCCATCCACCTCTGCCCTGAGCGAAGGGCAACTGGTATTCCATGTTATTGGAAAACAAAGCTCAGTCAGACTCTAGGGACATTGATGTAGGTACCGAACTACTTTTAGATTGTCCAAAAATCTAATCTTAAGTAGGAAGAGCCAACTCCTAAACAACTATTGACACTGGAATTAGATTGTCAGTCTCCTGGCAGAATCCCAAAACTTAAATGCTACTGTTATTCAGAGTTCTGAATTAGTTTTGGATATGGGGAGTTTGTGTTGACCAACAGCCAAAGGTAACAAGAAGGCTGGAGAGAAATTTGTCAAATGTTGATAAAGCCATAGGAGGAAAAATTCAGGGATGCTACCAAGAAATACAAAGACATTTAAAATATGCACAATAAAAAAGTGAGAACTTTAGGGAAACCTTGCTCTTTATAGAGACAACTCTGGAAGATCCACCAGGCCCACTTTCTCCAGTCTGATCTTGTCTACTTGTACTGAACCATGTTGGCTTACAAGCTGCAAACTAACCTGCCTACAAAGCGTCAATTTGGGAAAGGTTGGCTGGGACAACTGATCTTCATTCAAATATAGTCATTACTGTCAACTGAGAACCTTGGAAACAGTGGCTTTCCATTCATTAAAAAAATACCATGTATGACTCAGAATGCTGTAT